ATCTTTAAGTACATCCAAAATGGGCAAGGAATGGATGGGAAAGGGGATCGTGGGCAATCTCTAGGGATTGGGGGTAATCCCAAGGCAATCTCCAATTGGTGGGTTGGAGATTGCTTGGAGATTACATTTGGGTTTGGTTGGGATGTAGGTGTACACCCAACCAAACACAAAGTGCAAACTACACTACGCTAGGATATAGAAAATATAAAGTACAAAGTGTGAGATTGATGGCTAACACTAGCATTATTGTACCACCAACATTCTACCACTGCCAATCTGCCACCGCTGATGCTACCACACCACACTCACCAGAGCCATCCCGATGATCTCTTCCCTTTACGACCTTCATTTACCAGTTATCAAGGCTTCCAATATTCGCTAATACCTACTGGAATTTTGTTGTCTACCCTCCACTCCACTTTTTCTGCTGTTCCCCCAGCGACCTGAGCTCCAACCAACTGACCGGTCCCATCCCCGAGGAGATTGGTGCCATGCTCGCCCTCACCAGACTGTCAGTCACGTCACTCTCCACCACAACCCTCGCACACCACAGTAATGTCTGGTGCATCTTGCCTCCGTCACTCTTGTTTGACTGTCTTCCTTCTTGATGCACCCGCCTGTCCTCCGAATTGCATGTCTGTCTGTCTTCTAGTGATCTTTCAAACAACCAGCTTTCGGGCACCATTCCTGCGACCTTGGGTGGACTCACTGAAATGGCAATACTGTGAGATGAACCCGCACTATGGTGCATGCACTATCTGTCACACATGCGCCTTACTTGTCAGTTCCTGTAATGGTTGCGCCGCGCAACTTGCGCGCACTAAGCTGAAATGGGCACACATGGGTTGCCGTTTCTCTGACCATGTGCGACGCACACACGCGAATGTTAGTGTTCCACCGTTTACATTCAAACATAGAATGCAAAATTATTATTTGTTGCTGAAGAAGACCTATTCTGCAAGATACATGCATTCCTTTTGTGTCCTGTAGCAGTATATTAAGATCTAGTCTCCCCACTACAGCTAACAGACAAAAAAAAAAGGGAAGAAAAAAAAAGGTTGCTTCTTCTAGGCAAACGGGGTTGCCTCTAAATAAAATGGAACGGATTTTGTTCATTATCTCATGCATAACACGTTTCTAAATGCACATGCATCTCCATGTGCCCCTGTCACTGCCTTGTATTGTGTACCATCCCCCTCCTTCCAACCTATTCAGGGTGTTGAGAAAAAATCAGCTCAATGGCTCTATTCCCGCCACCATTGGCTCCCTGAAGACACTGTTAGCTCTGTGAGGATCTGCCTAAAAGCTCTCCTTCCCTCTCCTCTCCAATCAATGTCAGCTCCACTTTTTGCGGTGCATGCTGTCATGTTACTTGACGTGTCGTGGCTTGCATGCTATCATACATCGCACCGTTTTTTACCTTGTCGGTCCACTTCTGCATTCCCTTTCTTTCCTCAGCGACCTTTCAACCAACCATATTACGGGCAGCATCCCTGCCAGCTTCAGTGATCTCAGTCAAATCAAATCCTTGTAAATCCTTGTCAATCAAACACCCCAAAGGTGTGCCAGAGAGGTGAAGTTGACAAACATGCACATAAATATTAGCGACATTGTATGTTCTGGAAAGAAGTGTGTTCGTTAGCAACCAACCCAAGTGCATGACGAGTACATTTTTTGCAACGACAGTGAGTTGAAGAATACATATTGTTCACAACATGTGTTGTCAGAAGTTGTCATGTGTTCTTGCAAGGTATGGTCCGACATACAGAAAGTATCATGTCCATCAGAGCGTACTGCTACACTACTAGAACTAGTAATGCCACTCACAGTCAATCTCAATGTGTCCCTGCACCTCTTATTAATCCCGCCTCCCCACGGTGTCCCATCCTTTCATGTATTCCCAATGTAACCCTTGAACGACCACAGATATCTGTATCAAAATCAGCTATCTGGCTCTATCCCTGCCACCATTGGCACCTTGGCATCTCTGCTATCTCTGTAAGAAATCTCGATATTCCTTGGTATATGTCCCGTCCCCCATTTTTCTTGTTGCACTTCCTAAATTCCTCTCCTCGAATTCTGTATCAGGCCTTGTAGATTCATTACACTTCCCTGATAGTTTATTTCAATCATCGAGTGTTTGTGCTAAACAGTGATTGTTAAATGGTTTGTACCATTTTGGCTAGTCATGGACCAGTATGCCTTTCCAACATCGGTTTAGGTTTGCTCGTTCCACTACGCACAAAGCACACCCTTCAGTTGGAATTTCACCCCAACCTCCTTGTTAATTTGTATCGAGACACGTCCAAGCTTTCTGCCTAGAAACCTATGGCTTTTATCTCCCAACTAGGTATCTAGACCTACTGGGACTCAATCCCCTTGGAAAAGCTGGCTGATTGTCGGCTTTGCTCGTCGACTCGCATCGGTCGTTAACATGAGAAGCCGGGCCTGCCATGGACTCATTTCGTGCGATATGGATGGCTCATCTTCTACTCTCCCTTGCCATCAACAGCTACCTCGATTCCAACAAGCTGTCAGGATCTGTGCCCTCTTCAATGGGAGAACTCACAGCACTCACAAGCTTGTGAGCTGTCAATCCATCTGCTATTGCTCAGGAGTTCCAAGAATAATTAGTTCATGTACCGTTCCTCCTGGGAATTTGGAGGCATTCCGACGCATACAACCCGTTTTCCCAGTTTTGCCTCCTCCAAAGCCCTAGCCAATATAATGCATGATATCAACGCCCGTGTCTCTCCCTGTACTGGAACAGATCAAAACGCTGTGCTCATACGCTGCCCATTCCCCTCTGACCCTGTCTCCATGTATGTTGCACTCATCTAACCCCCTCTTCGTCCTTAGGGTTCTCGACAACAATCAGCTCACTGGATCGATTCCATCAAGCATTAGCTCCCTCTCAAGCCTTGAAGTCTTGTAAGACCCTTCCCTTCGCACTCAAAGTGCTCTCCTCTACCCTCATCATCCCCTCTCTGCAACCCCCTCTTCATCCCTTCGCCATGATGTTCTCACTGTTATACTTTCATCAGGCTTCACCAACCCATTTGGAGGCACAACAGGAACAATAAATCCCTCTGGCCGCTGTTTTCCCATCTCCCTGTTCCCTGTTCACGAATCAGAGCTCTGTCCCGCAACCTGTTCTCTGGATCCGTCCCTGGCTTCCTCAGCTCCCTCACCAATTTATCGATCTTGTACGCCCCACCGGTTCTTTTGCCATGTGTCCACTGCCCATAATGACAATGCTATTTTCCGTTCGAGTGGAAAAGGTGTGTAATATCTCTGAACAGCACATCTATTTATCCGACCCGTTTATTGTACCAACTGGATTTGCAGGGCACTCCAGCGTAATCTCCTTAATGGGCAGATCCCTGAGAGCATCGGGGAGCTTTTACAACTGTGCTATCTGTAAGCCCTAGCATCTGATGCATGCCATGTCCGGCTTCTACCACCATCCCACCTCTGTCTTGTGCACATGTGGAAGGAACTATGCTTCGATGGACTGCCAGGCTTAATCCAATCCATAAGGCCCATGTTCTCTACTTGTACTTCTCTAAATCTAAATTTCCCCCCTTTGAGGTGTAATCGTTTTTTATCTGGATTTGTATCTACTCCCACCACCATGGGCATCAGGTCTCTTGCCTCCAACCAGCTGTATGGAGGCAATCCTGAGAGCTTCATCCACCTCACACATCTCACCTACCTGTAAGCCCATACCATACCACGTGCTGTCGTAAGCTAATCGCAAATTTCAAGCTCTGGGCTTTAAAAGAATTGCTACTCGAGGTGTGTTGGTATGGCTCCTCTTTTGTCACTCGATGTTCCACATGTTGTTAGGACCTGTGCATTCCGGGCCTTCTGTTATGCAATGAAATACAGTACATCAGATCGGATGACTGACTGTCCCCTAATGAGCGTCCCAGGAATTCTGGTCTTGAACAACTTAGTGTGCGCGTGTATTTACTGTAATCGTTCACCTCGAACTTGTCGTCCTCTCCTCCTGAATTTTTCATCCCGAGCCCACTATTCATCTTCCCCTTTTTCCACCCCATCATCCCAACCCTTCTCCCCCTCACGAACCCAACCGCACCCCCACCCAACTCACACCCTTCTCCCCTCCTTCCCTCCCTCTGTCTTCTCCCAGCGACCTCTCCCGCAACTTCCTTGCAGGCCCCGTTGCACTGCCTGCCATCAGCAGCTTGCGCCTCTACAGCAACTTCTTTTCAGGCCCTCTGCCCGAAGGGGCATGCCAGGCTACCAACTTCGATGCCAACTGCTTCACAGTGCCTCCTGGCTGTGCGCTGGAGGTGCCGCGGCAGGAAGCTGCATGCAATAAATTCTGTGGCGTTTCCACTGTTGTGGCCCCGTCCTCCGCTGGCGCAAGTGCTGCTGCTGCTGCTCCTGTTGCTTGTGGTGGTAGAGGGGCGTGCGTTCCGAACCCGACTGGAGGACTGCCCCCAAGCTGTTTGTGCGAAGCGGGGTTCATCAAGTATCGAAGGATGAACTGTGTTGCTCAACGTAAGCTGAATTCCTCCATGGAATGTGAATGGCATCACAACAGAATTGGTATGGAAGGAGATTCCTTTACCATAAGGTCACTGCATACGTCACTGCGTCCCACTGCATACGTCACTGCATACGTCACTGCATCTCACTGCATACGTCACTGCATCTCACTGCATACGTCACTGCATCTCACTGCATACATCACTGCATCTCACGCAGGCGCCCTGTGGTAGCATCTCACTGCATATTCCAACCGAAGTAGCTGCTCTGGTCACCACTGTTGCTCTGTACCGTCTTAAAACATAAGGCACTGTACTAGACTGATCCATCTCATCCCAATCGTGTGATAATCTGCTTCACCCAAAGCCATACCAGATGTCACTGCAGTGGTGTTGCTTTGTCCTATGCTAGAAGAGAGGTCAGCACTCAAGCTACCTCACTGTTGGTCCCATCCCATTGGAACTTTTCCTCATGTCCCCTGCATGTCCCCAGCCAAAGGTGCAACTTATACAATTCTTCCGCCAGCAACTGTGCTAACCAACGGGACGAAGAAGGAGACAAAGGGGCTCTTCACTGCAGATCCGGTGACTCTGTTTGTGTACGAGCCAGGGCAGGCAGTGTCGGGGTGTGGAATGCAGCTGGCCTTCCAGGCCAACTTCACCTTTATCCTCTCAGCTCAATCGGGTCGCGCCGTGGGCAACAACGGCTTTGCCTTTGTCATCTCTGCAACAAAACGAGTGGTTAACGGCTCAGGCATGGGGTATGGTGGAATGGACAGCCGGAGCATGGCGATTGAGTTTGACACTCTGACGAACAAGCAGCACGGTGACATAAAGGGCCAGCACGTGGGGCTGAATATCCGAGGCCAGGACAGATTGTTAGCTGCTGTGAGATTGCCATTTGTGCTGAAAAACAGAACGCCTTACACGGCATGGGTGGACTATGAGCCTGGGGAGCCCGGCACCATCCAAGTGTTCCTGGCCGCTTCGGCAGTGAAGCCAGCGCAGCCGCTGCTGGAGAGGAGGCTGGCGCTGTGTGAGGTGCTGCAAGCTGGAGCAGAGCAGTTTGCGTTCTTCTTTGGCTTTGTGGCGTCCACCACTGTGAAGCCGCTCCAGGCACATCTCATCCTCAAGTCGGCAGTGCACACAAGTAAGGACAGCCCAGTGATGATGATGATGATGATGATGATGATGATGATGATGATGATGATGATGATGATGATGATGATGATGATGATGATGATGATAATGATGTGAGAAAGTGTAAGAACAACCGATAGTTTCATTAGGAAGGGCATGGGTTTACATAGTTGAGCTAGGATGTAGGAGCCATGCCAACATTATTGGCCCCCACCAATAAGTTGGGTTGAGGAGTTATTGGGGGGGCCAATAATCTCCCAACCCAACCTTGGGGGCCCAATAATTGGGCCAAGGTTGGGTTCCAACCTCAAACCCTAGTTGTGCACCCAAACTAAGTTTGGGTGCCTATCTCTAGTCAAAGCTTATATGATGATGCAGGTTACAATGAAGATGGTAATCTGACAGATGATGATGATGATGATGATGATGATGATGATGATGATGATGATGATGATGATGATGATGATGATGATGATGATGATGATGATGATGATGATGATGATGATGATGATGATGATGATGACGACGACGACGATGACGACGATTACGATGAGTGTCGTGGACTAGGACCAGAGCGATGGCTGTGGTCATCCTGCCTCAACCTGTTGACTGCTTCTAATATGCTTCACATAATATCTCCACACCACGTCATCACCATGTTCTCTTTCTGTCACTCGTGTGTCCCCCTTTATGCAGGCCTTACGGCCTCACGGGATCCCGTGAACATCACTCCAGGTAAAAAGCGCATGGCTGGTGTGTATGCATGCTTGAGCACATCTTTCCTGCACACCAGAGGTCAATTAGCTCCACTTCAGCCTCTTTCAAGTCCCTTTTTCCTTCTTCCATTGTTGAACAATTCAAGTGTTGGTGCACTCTCGCACTCTCTGTTATGGAGCTATTCAGCCAGAAAAGCTCATCTGCATGTGTGCATGCACCGACATCCCTTCCATCTCCACTACATTTTCTGTTGAAATTCTGTGCTACATCCAGCCTTTGGCCTGACCCTCTCCGTGGCATCGTATGCGCCAGTGGGAGCCAGTCCCTTCATGCGCTACATGAGTGCGGACTACCGAGTGTCAGCTAACCAGCTTGACGCTTGGCAAGTCAGCGACTCCCACTCCTGGGACTCCATGGCCTTCCTCGGCTGGCCGGTCAAGAACCAGAAGGACTGCAGTGAGTGGGGATCAGGAGTTGTAGGAGTATATGTATAGGGCCAAAGCATTTCTGTGATGTTTTGTGAATCAGGTATAACTGTTATTCTGTACATTGCTACTTTTGTTGTCTTCTGTTGAAGAAAGAGACTCCTAATTTGTGACCGGGGATGCCCTATCCTCACATCCTGCGTGCACCACCGTTTCCAGATGCAAGCTGGGCGTATGCGGTGGTGGCAAGTGTGGAAGCAGCGTACGGCATTGCACTGAATCAGCAGGCTCCACGGCTATCAGTGGAGTCACTCTTTGCAGCCATGGGGCTCACCTCCCCAGCAGCTAAGTGCACAGCAGGGGGCTCTCCTGCTGCGGCCTTTCAAAAGCTTCTCACTCTGCCCCGTGGTGGCCTCACAACAGACGGCAAGCAGGTAGGGAACAAGACTATTATATAGAGACATGTATGTCTGCCTTTTTTGTATAAACCAGCACCAATGTACAGTCATAAGCGAGGGGCTGTACACTGATATACAGAGCCGCAATTAGCCAAGTACACGCACAATGACTTCCACTTCCCCGATTTCACCATTGCATTTTCTCGTCCATTTTTTCTGTATCAGTTCCGCCTGCTATATCAGTTTGTTTAATCAGCTAATCCGTCTATCCAATCATCATCTTGTGCTCTTGATCCGCAGCCAACGAAGTACCCCATTCAGGGTTTCGAGCGCACGCGGTTCAAGGGGTATGTGGGGCTCATGCTGGCAGTGCAGCGGCAGCCAGTGGTGGTTCACATCGAGGCCTCTGCTGCCTCTGCTGCCTCGTTTATGACGGGGTGAGTACCGATCATGTTAAAATCTTGGTTGTGTTGCGCTTCCCTATGAGCATCCTTGTCATTGTTGTGAATCTTCATGACCTATGATAGTAGCTTTGAATAAGATGAGTGTTCCATGTGCCATCACAAGTACAGGTGACTGCATGACTCATATACCTTTTTCTGTATTCTTTTGTAATTATCTCATTCTCTCATCCAGACCTTAAAGTACCAAGACCCTACCTGCTACACCGGCAACCTGAACCATGCTGTACTCGTTGTTGGGTACCTCGTTTTAACAACTAGTGAAACCTCCTTTGATCCGCCATTCTGGATCATCCGCAACTCATGGGGAGTGCTGTGGGGCGACCGGGGCCACATGCGCATGGACATTCAGGGAGGGGATGGCGTGTGTGGCATCAACGTGCTGCCTGGCATCTACCCCATAGTCAAGAGTGAGTCATGCTCATGTCGCAGTCAACAGTGAGCTGAGCTAGACCCTATTCGAGAAACCACAAACAAAGTGGGAGTTTGTATTTCTCTGGTATGTTCAGCTTACACACCTTAAGAAACCTTTCAAGTCCTCATTTTCCTGCATGTCTGTTGAATTACACTACCTCTCCTTGCTTTTCCACCTACCCTCCAGTTTCCAAGGACCCCTGCGGCCAAAAGAGCTTCAAGAGAGATGGGGACCTGCAGCCCAGCATGAACCCGTGTGGTCGTTTCACATGCCAAGCAAACACGAAAACCAAGGGCAACACCTGCAACTGCACCATACCTAACGAGACCAACCAACCTTTTGTTGAGGTGGCCAATGGATATGGCTCCAACACATGTGCATATGGTGAGACATGATTAAGCCAAAGATGTGTCTTGGACATACAGTCTACTGATCTTTGTACAGCAAGTATGGAGTTTTTCTTGGGTATAAATTTGCAAGACACACAGACTTGGCTGACCAGCTTAGCTTGTATGCCACACTCCTCAGCGACCTCACATACAGCTGCTATAGCAGCTTCTTCTTTCATCATGGACATATTACTTGGATTTTGAGCTTTGTCCCAAATAACACGCTCTTCACAACCCATATGTACCCCGTTGCCTACCCAACAGCTGATATGTGCAGTTCTTCTTCTATCAACCCCTGTGGTGCGGGCACATGCATCAACGATGGCAAGGGCGCATACTCCTGCATCTGCCCGCTCAACTACGTTGAAAGCAGAACCGTTGACAACTCCCCCACCTGCGACCCAGGTGCTGCTAGTTTGGCCTCATTCACACACGAAACGCATTTGACTGATATTTCAAATGCGTTTGATGCAATTCCATGGGTTCATTTACTTGTTTCAAAAAGCAACTGACATTTCTATCCAGCATGGCGTCATTGTAACCCTCTGCCATCCCTCTGTAACTTCCCTTTTGTATGTGCACCCACCCCCCCCTCCCCCCTCTTTCCCCCCTCCAGTCAACACCACAACCTCCACCTTGACTGTCACTGGTGCCAACTGGTGGTGCTCTGATGTCTTTCCGGCTGTCGGCCTGGCATTGGCTAGCGCCCCAGTGGAAAACATGGTGAGAGGGCTGAATAATCGGACACAGATTCATTAGGATGGGCGACTGGTGGGCAAGGATTATGGGGGCATTTGATAGGGTTCTTAGAACCAATGTCGTTTTTCAGAGGAGTGAAGGTAGCAGCCATCCATATCCAACAAATCACCCCCCCATTGTGTTCCAGGGCGTTAACTGCAGCCAGCCTTTGCCTCAGGGCAAGGTGATTCAGCTGGGGAGCATCCCCACCACCCCGTGCACTGCCTTCTACTATGTCCTCAATGTGAGTCCAAGGTTCTTTGCAAGACACAGAGGAAAATGGAATAACCATCCGTTCCTGTTGTCCTTTTTTGTTCAACGTGATGCAACAAACACACCATCTACAACCCACCTTCTTTCCAACATACTCCCAAATCATGACTTGTTTTGGTGTTAGGGATGTCCACTCAGCAGCATACATATTTTATATATATCCAACTACAGCACTCCAGCATCCATATGTTAGGGTCGTCTTTGTTTCTCCCTGTCCTGCCTGCCTTCATTTCTTTGCGTAACCACAATTCTAGATTCCTGACAACCGGTTCCTCGATCCTCAGTAACCAAACACTGCATGCATATGCTTTGTACGTATTTGGTGATACCATGTAATGAATCGTCCACATCCCATCTCTTGCCTTCTCTCCCCTCACTCAACGCCCCAGGGTGACACCTGCTCATCTATCAGCACCCAGCTGGGTCTCGCATCCACTGACCTTGCCACTCTCAATCCCAGGCTGGATTGCTCTAAGCCCGTCAAGGCAGGCCGCTCTCTGTGCCTCGAGCGCAACTCCACCTTCGCCTTCACCGTCCCTCAGTGCTTGCAGTACGGCATGCTTACAGCACAGGACACGTGCGAGCAGCTGCTGCTGCAGAGCATGCAGTCTGGTGCGGATGAGTCGGCAGGAGCTGATGTGGTGAACGCAGCAAGTTCAGGCCAGTCAGCTGGGGATTATTCCGTGGGTAGTGGTCCCTGGATTGAGCTCTACCGGAACAATCCCGGCCTCGTCTGCCCTCGAACCAACCCTGCCTCCAGCGCCATTGTTTCCAGCATGACTAGCATACAGGTGAGAGGGGGAAGACCAGAACAATTAATAGGTATGATATTGTGTTTTCTATATATATATAAATATACATGTATATATATAGATTGTGCTTTCTATGTTTATGTTTTTTACTTTTGTTTCCACTCTGTGCATGCATGTCATATCTCAGGTGTGCCTTCAGGCAGACTACGAGTCCTTCGGTGCTCACAGCTGCAAGATGGGAAGGATCAAGGCAGTGTCACCGTCTATGACATGCGCGGGTGCTTTCAGCTTCTTCAGTGGAGCACAGGCGGGAACGGTCACAGATTTTTACAAATACAATCTAAAGACATGCTTGGGGACTGTAGAGTCAAGTTTTATTTGTGTTCCATAGTGTGACACCTTGGTTTTTGGAGGGGCGTCAATTCAGTTACTAAACTTGTGGCAGAACATAAGCTCATAGCCTGGTGACATACATTTGGCAGATACCGTACTCTACATTGTCCTTGTTATACCGTAAGTCTGCCATCCTACTCACAATCTGGTTCACCTCGGTTATTTGCCATACCAACCTCCCCTCAAATCACTTTGCACACATGGTTTCGCAATAAATTCACGCACTTTAGCTTAGGTGGTATTTTCGTTTTCGGGCTGGTCTGCCCCAGACCCAAGCCCGCTCTGCTTTACATGTTTGCTGGTACGAAACCTTGTACCGTATCACCCCGGATATAAGCGCAGGTGCGCTTATAATAAAACAGTGTCTTTTAGGGGGGTGCGCTTCTAATTAAGTCGATTTTAGAAGTGCATGCATGCGCATGTAGTAGGGAAAAAAATGAAATTCACTTTTCAAACTGAAGCATGCAATAAGCGAATCCAACCGATCATGCAACAAGTGGGATCGTGCATGATTTTCAGGCAAAAACAACTACGGTTCGGTTTCCCACCGCATAGTTCTGTCTAGAACCATCGAACCTGATAGTAGTGACGGGGATGTTGCCGTGCGACCCAATCACAGCTGCATGCGCTGCGTGGCATGCGCATTTCTTCTCACCCCTCTTGAAGCGTTTATGCTGCCACGCAGGGTCCTCTACGGGGGTAGGCGGGGGTTCCCCGCCTGTCATTGACGAGGACCCCGAGCCGCCAACCCTACAGGGTCCCCGTCGTTGCCAATTTGTGCACACTCATTTCATTTTTCTTCATTCAGTTTCCAGTCTAGGACGCCTGGCTGGCGAAGCCATGGCGGAATTCAGCGGAACGCACTTCATCTTCATGAAAAAACTACATCGCTCGTGGCAACTTGGCGACGACGGGTGGTATACCCGTGAGCCACCAGCCCCTCCAGTGCCACCTGCACCCTCTGCACCCCCTGCTCCGTCTGCTCCTCCTGCACCTCCTGATCCTCCTGCTCCTCCCGCTCCTCCGGCTCCTCTGAATCCGTACGAGTAGTGCTTATCAACGGTCCGTGCTCCAGCTGTATTTACCGGCCACTTTCGACGAGTGGCTGTCTGAACCGGACACACCCAAGGCCCCCGATGTGTTCATCCATGCTCTACCACCTGCACCACGGTGGGGAAATCCTGAAGTCTGCACGTGGGATGAGTCGGCTATGGGCGCAGACGATGACATGGCCGCCGATAAACATAACACCGGCGACGGCGACAGTGGAGGCAATGGTGGAGGCGATGGTGAAGAGGGCTCCGAGGACGACGTGTTTCCAGATCGTGATGCAACTACCGCGGACGATGACGGTGTGGAGTCTCGGTGTCGCGACGCACCAGGCACGAAGATGCCGATACCAACGTATCCGCCGATTAACAAAATACGACCCCACCCCTCCTCCGAGAACCGTGATGCCCGCCCCCCCTCTCCCAGGCACAAGCCGACTCAACATAAACGGCAGCCCTACACCGCCCAGGAGAAACTAAGGTGGCTCGTTCGGTTGGAGCTTGTGGCATCGGTAAGCGAGGTCACGCGGAAGTCCGGCATACACCGAAAATGCCTGACAGAGTGGAAAATCCAAGCGGACCACCTCAAG